GTAACAGTAGGTGGTTCTTGATTGTGCATTTCCCGCAGTCCATGCTGCCAATATGCCAGAAGCTACTTACCGCTGGTACTCCAACGCAATCGGTAGCGTCATTAAGCTTCGTGGTATTACAAATGCCGCCGACTGCTCCCCTTCTGCTTCCTATCTCAGTCTCTCCGGCTCCCACCAAGTCTTTCCTCTTTCGTTCCTCTTTTGCCCTCTCCGGTGCCCGGGCTCCATCTATGGGCCACTTAACTGGATCGTTCAAACTTTCAGCAAAAACCCATATGCGAGTCATAAGCATTTATGAGTTTCTTACAGCCAATAATAAGTTCGGAGAGATTGCTGGCTGCCTTGCTCGTCGAGGATGCTCGTTTGTTCTTCTAACCGGACACGCCGACGTGTTTCGATCTATTTGAACCACCGATTCGGTTCAACTGGTATATTTAGTATATTTAGTTTAGTGCACCAACATTCAACTTATGATCCTTAATCAAGGATTGCTTAATACGTGATTCGAGTAAATCTTCCGCTTTCGGGTGGTTTCTTAACAACGGATTTTAATCTTCGTTTTGCCTAATCTTTGTCGGTGCAATACGAATTTTACTACTCCGAGATTAACTAATCGTAGTTAAGAAATGCCACGCTAATCGCAGTTAGTTGGAACTGTCTTGGTTGTTTACCTTGAAAAGTAAAATGTTTTGACACTTTTTTTAATCTGTAAATTCACGGGGAAGTTATTTAAGACCATCGTGGTCATTGTGTCACTCTACATGATAATGGTAGGTGGTATAATAAATACTTAATACCTATAAAATTAAATAAAATATTTATTATTATATATGAAAGTGTATATTTAAGACAGTAAAAGGAAATTATACTACCAAACATTAACTTACATCCGTGTATGTAAGACATTGTTCATCTATGGAGAATTGTATCGTTTGCTCTAAGATACTACATGTTATTCGGATTTTATTTATTATCCACAATCTTACTCTGTATAGTCTGAGAAGAGTTATGACCATGCACGTTGAATTACTACATGGCATCTGTGAAGTAATTTGTGTTTATGGGTTTGAAAAGATCCAAGACCTACCTGAGACCATGGACGTTAAACATTCACGATGCTTTAGCGCCTTTTTCGGGTCCATACTTCATGTGAGCATTTACGAGCAATACTCTCGTTTGTAGCATCACTTCCGGGTTCCTCGCTCTGAAGTTCACTCCGAGGGAATTCAAATTTACCCGAGATGGTCATTGGAAATCCAACTATTCTTCTCATCTGAGAGAAGCACATTTATAACCATCTAATATGATGCAGTGTCATGTAATGAACTGTCAAAATCATTTGATTCATTCACATGATCCACAATTAAAATTATTGCTTAGGTACAACGTCAAGATGTCCGAGTACTTTGTAAATTTCTGAACATGCATATGCTAAATTATATTCTGACGGTATGAAGGTGATGTGAATGTGGCATTAAAGAGGTCTTACTTATGAAACTTTTCTCTGAACTGAGTGTACCGAATCATTTCAAACTTGACAATGCAAATATGGAGGCTACAAGGAATGTCCTGGCACCCAAGAATTTCAATTTTTTTAAAATTTATTTACAGATATTTTCAAAATTTGTTATGAAAAATGAAATTTCACGTGCGCTAAAATGTTCCTTATAGCCTCCATGTTCATATTGTAAAGTTTGAAACGATTCGATACACCTAATTCATTAGAAAAGTTTCATGAACGATTGATATCACTTTCACATCCCCGTAAAAAATGAAGTAATTCTTTGTATTAAATTATTTGTTTCCATTTCCTTCCACTGAAAAATGTTCCTGTTGTTTCAATCACTTTGCTGCTGAAGGATGATTAGATGGTACGTGAGAGTATTTTACGTCTATTGCTTCCGAGACATAAGAAATTATGAAAAATTTTTCTCCCGATAAATTGTCGCTTAAACAACATCCAACATATTCTTGTTGCTCGACTATACTCTCTATTCTCGGTCTCGGCAAAGAGACGCGGCTATCTCGATTGTCGTTGCTAATTACAATACGGCAATTAGTAGGCACCGAGAGAAGAGAAGAGTAAAAAGGATAAGTATACCTGATATGCAATCGGTGAAATGCATCCTGAAGTATGTACTTCTCAATCGACCTGTAAATTCATCCTAATGATTTAACGCAATTAGCTTTTAGAATTAATGTAGGAGTTAATGGTGCCTTACAAATATTATGAATATACAATAATATGAAAATTTCACCATACTCTCTCAATATAAAGAACTACAGAAATTTATATATCGTTTGAGGTGCTTTTATAAATGAGACTTACTATTCCTCCTTTATATTCACGTCTCTTTATAAATGTGCATGAAGAGCATTAAATCAAATGTCAGACGATTATTTTCTGTTTTGTTATCAAAACCCAAATCATTATATAGTTACTAGAAGAATGGTTTAAAACATGAGATAATGGCGAAGTCATTTTGATGCGGATCCACAAAATCTGCAAATTTTATTTTAACTACGGATTAGCTTAAACGATGGAAGTAATAAGTAAGAAATTTCTTATCACCATAATTGCCAGAATATTAGATCAGTATAATCTCAAACACAGATAGTTACATCATTTGATCGGCATTCTTATGCTTGATATTTAATTTTCACCCTTATGGTCTCACTTTTAATTATAATAAACAACGAATTGGAACATAGATATCGACCCTTACATAATTTTATTAAATTTATTTATTACTCGTACATTACATCTTAATGAGGTACGAAGACAAATGCTAACATTTTGCATTAATTCAGTACATGAAAATATTCTTAATGAATATTGCATATTCGTAATCTTGATTCTTTTTCTGCTCTTTCAATTGTAACCGTAAGTCGACCATTTTCACATACACAAGTTCCACTCATGACTTCAATAAAAATCGGCACTACGCAAGATCATATGAACGAAGCAGTTCAGTTTATGCTTTTAAAAAATATTTTACCGACATTTATAAGACGTTTTAATTGCGGATTAAAAATTGCTCCCAACTGTCGAAAAACGATTCACTCATATGCGTGCTAAATTTTAATTCCACTAAAATTCATTTCAACATTAGAATTTGTCATAGACCAGTTAGTATCGTTAATGAGACATCTTTTATATTCCGCAATTACGTTAAAATAATATAAATAATATAAAATGATAGCAGAGGACATAGCATTGTGACGATACACTAAACAAATGTTTTCACAAATTAAAAAAATAAATGACGTTTAATTCACTGATTTGAATAGCGCGCCTGAATAAATGTCTTGTATCATCAGAATTTGAAGGCTGTTTCATAAAAATGACGAGTATCAAAAGCATCCGATAGTGCTATCAAAACTATTAAGTCGAGCCTTCTGGATCTTCAGAAAAAATATACACATTCTAGATGACAAAATTTCGAGAGAGACTGCTTTTATTAAAGGTATCTATAAATCGTAGCGATAAATCCGTGCAAGCCGATTCGGGCAGATTGAACCGACATGTGGATAACGCGTGCACTCTATAAGAGAACTCTATTTAGCTACACAGATTACAAATCACCACGATGTGTCTTTATTCGTGTAACAACCTTTAGGTAACGTACAGACGTCCCTAAATTTACGCGAAGTATCCGTTCCACATGGATTCGGTTTGCGCGAATGAAAATCGCGTCGCATAAAGTCCGTCAGGACAAAATAAAAAATAGTGGAAATAAAAGCCAGTACATATAAGTTTTGGAAACACATATTTATTTCATCGCCTAACGAAAAGAAAATAATTAAAATAAATAACCGCGTAAATTGTGTTATACTTCGCCGCGTAAAAAAGGGCCGCTCAAATTGCGGGAGGGATGTACATCAAAAACTGCTCTCGATCTCAAAATAACTCTCGTTAGATGATCAACCTCACGCTCTTGATCTTCGGCGCCATCCAACGAGCGGTATCGGCGATAGGTTGTGACAAGGAGCGAGTATCGCACGCTTCACGGTGGTCGTGCCGTGTATTCCGTGGAAGCTGCCTGAGAAAAGGAAAAGGGGAAAGACCCGATGCAGGGAAAGAGGGACGCGAACGGAGAGAACTGGAGAGAAGCGGAGGGAGATGGAAAGATCGGAGACAGGCACGAGAAGGACTATCGTGAAAGGCGAAAGACGCAGTGCGGATGAGATAAGGCGAGATAACGCGGAGAGAGAGAACCCCGATGCAAGGGGGAAGCAATGCTGGACAGTGTAAGATCAAGAGAGAGGAGAGAAGAGTCGGGTCGGCGCGATGAGCTAGGAGAGGGAGAGGAAGAAAGATAGAGTGGTAAGGTAAGGCGGCGAGACGAGGCTAAGCATGAGGCCGCTACCGGCTAGGTAAGGCATTGGTAAGCCAACGGGGTCCAAAGTCGCCGACTCTCCCAGCTCTCCGCTCTGGTCGCGTGTTAACCTTCTCTCCTCCACGGGCGCAGTACGCTCTCGCCTTTCGCGCAAGCCGGGCTGCGCCTACCCCGGCTCTCCTCCTAGAGACCACGTGCAGTCGCAACGAGTTGTGACTTTGTCCAAGCAAAGTCTGTCCCACTGTCTGCCGGACCCACTGGCCCAAGCTCGATTCCAACTGGAGCAATCTTGGATCTGTTGGCTGCGACCGAATCAAACTTTACTCTTCTTTTCATCCGAAGATCCAAGGGACCCTACGCTAGGATGTAAACAAACCTTGGGATGTTTCGCCTAAGCGAAACCTGAACTTACACGTATCCAACGTGTTCTGCTACGAAGTCGTTGTCCCTGCATCGGAACCAACCAAAAGGTTGCCCCATGTTCTGTTGCGGATTGGTGGTGAAACATTTCGGAGGACCATCCACCGGTCGGTTGGTTCATCGTACACGTGGAGTCTTGGATCGAATGTCAACATGGAACACTTTCTTTACCGTTGGACTGTGTCTATTCCGAGTTCCATGCTGGCGACCATGTGCAGATTTCGTGACTGTGAATGGCGGTGGAGGTAAATTTCTTGTTCTCCGCCACCCTCGTGTCCCATGTTGAGTTGGGTTAAGGGTGGACTTACCAATTGTGCTACTTATTTGGCATTCAGTGCTCTTACCTACTTTAGTTGTTTACTAAAATAGTAGGTTGGGTCGACTTCAAGTTTCGTGCAACTTCGGTTGACGTTCTAAAGAAAGTTATACAAATGGTATTTGTCTAATCTTGTGCAGTGCATACATTCGTTGGCACCCATTGTTAGGGATCGTGATAAAGTGAAACTCATGTAAATGCGAAGAGAATCTACTTTTATCGTTCCCGCTGGTTGAGTTGCGCATGCTCCAGATTCCCAACAGGTGGACCACGCGCAGTTTCCGTTCGATCGAAATCCGTGTAAAGAAATTTTATCGACCTGTTCATATCGATACATGGGAATGCCAAATGAACGTGCCCATCATGATGTATTAACGCGACGTGAAACATAGTCACGCGTTGATGCACCTTAAACGAAAAATGTTTACCAACCAAATTCTAATCACAAAAACTGATAATAGCTGCGAAAAATGGAAGACAGTTGGAGCAACTGGAACGTTATTTAGATGGGATTTTATTTCCATGTAAAGAAGACTGGACAACACGCCGGACAATGAATTCTTGATTCTGATTAGACCTGGGTAACATATGCGGTTCAAAAGAAGTAGAAGAAACTCAATTTAGGTACATTTTCGTACGTTAAATTCAAAGTGAACGGACTACAATGGACGGGAAAAATTCACGGAGAAAGTGTCGAAGAATATTCGAATATTAAAACTTCAAAACGAGAACTTACTATTTTCTGGTTCCATGATTTTACTATTGCATGTTGCATCCCAGTGTTAGGAAAAAGACGTTTATCGTTGGAAAAGGAAGTAGCTGAAAGTGGAAAACATTGATATAACTTATTAAAATGGAACTATAATGCTGCACGATCAAAGAGGATATCTGCAATTTCTCTCAGAAATAAGACTGTAAGGTTAGAGAAAGATGAAAGAAAAGATGAGGGTGAAAACATGTGTACGTTCAGGTAGAGTTAACGTAATTTCGAATGCACCGACAGTCTACGACGGTGAAGGAAAGTAAAAGTGTCATGGACAATTTCGTACCTCAAACCAGAATTCCGGTATGCACGATCCGGTGGAAGGATATAAGGGCGTAACGGCGTAAGGACTTGCTCATTTGTCTCACGGTTAAAACCAAATAATCGGCCGAGGAAACCTCGTGTTCCACTTTCGACTCTAGAACGTGGAACGGAATGAGGCAAAAATGAATTTAAAGCGGTCACGCCTCTTAACGCCACCGAGATACTTACGTCGTTCGTTCCATTAGTGGAGTACTCTTTCAAGACTTCCGTGTTTCCTCCATCTTCTTCTTCTTCTTCTTCTGGCCTGTCGTCATCCTCTTCTTCATCTCAGTCATATGGCGAGTAAACCGGGCCAACGAGAAAGCTTCTCGCCGATCTCGTTTCGAGACCGGTACCACTCTGATGCATATTAACTCCGCATTAACCTGCTCATTACTGTCGATAAACGATATGAAATTTGACCTGAGGAATGATTTTCAAGGATCTGAACAAGAATTACAACATCTAAGATAGTAGAATCCAGATTGAAACACCCACATTTGCTAATTTCTCTACTTGTCATGTTTTACCCTGGAGTTCCCGGGGCAGAGTAGCGAACTGCAGTTAGCTGTGTCACTTGGTAGTACCCTTAAACAAAGAGAAGAAATTCTATAGCTTCCAAGAATCGTTTCTCTTTTATCCCATATTTTGTATTCACGAGTTCGTAACTTTATATTAGAAAAAAATACAAATTCTTAAATGTTTGGCCCAAAATTTTCATCGGGAGAATTCGAGGCATAGTTTGTTATCATGTAAACGAAGAGACCTTTCCCGATTTCCTTTTCAAAGCTAATTGTTATCTTGAATAAAAGAATGAGAAGTATTTTGTGTAGGGAAAAACGGGAAACTATTTCGGAACATTCCTACATGTATTTTACGATCCTAATTTGCAATTTTCTTTGTCGTGCTTCCCAGAAATAAATTTAGGCATTATCGACTAAGTAACTTGAATGATCCCGCGCGTTAGAATATCATACAAAAGGTAAATAGAGACAATTACTGTACAAAGTTCCGTAAAATCGACAGGAGGAAGAAAATTACTTTGAAATTTCGTTGCATTGACTATGTAAGACCCATTCTCTAGTTGCTCGCATCTGTCCGGGATAGAAATACGACATCCACGGTTATATCATTGTAACGTTACTTCTGCACTCGGGGATGAATGTAACAGGTGTACAGCTACGATCTACGATCCGAACCGTTTTAATTGGAACTATAAAACCGCTATCAAGGAGCGGGAATCCTCGGAAGCTCCATACACGACGCTTCGTACCTGGGCACCAAGAAACCAGAAACGCGTGGGTCGGTGTTACGTTTACACGATGGAATCCTGAGCTACATGCAAGTAGGGGCCAACGTGTAACCACGCTTAAATGGACGTGACGAGCGTGGGTCTCCTGTACAGTTGACTTGCGTGGGTCGCCACTGAGAAGTCACCTGAAAGAACTAACAGTGACAAGTTCGACATCGCGTGAAAACGACGGACTGGTCAAATCGGAGGCTGCGGCGTCCATTGTGACCGGGAAACGTGAAAGTCTCGGGAATAAACTAGGTTAAATAAGCTACTTTGTTCAAACACACTTTGTTCAAACAAAATATCTAACATGGGAAAAGTAGGAATTGAAGGGAACTACACCCAAGAGCAAAAAACGATACGACGATAACAAGACCTGTACAGAAACGAAAGTATAAACGCTGTAACACATACTAATAATACTGCAAAACCTGTGGAATAAAGGGGAACCAACCCAAGGGCAAAAAGCGAAACGAAGAAGAAGTCGGAGGCTCAGTTGTTTTTTGAAAGTTACTGCGACCGGGACTCTCGGTACACCTCATCAACGGTGCGCATCAAGCTCGAAGTTATCCACACCGTGTTACGTGAACCGCTCTAACAAAGGAAATAATTTACATAAGTGATAAGCAAAAGGGTTTCAATGTGAAAATAGGTTCCTTGCTCCAAAGACTCAAATTACTGGGGGAGAAAAGCAGATCACGGTTGGAGTTCTTCGATCGTTTCAATCGTGCCGAAACGTTTTAATCGCGGAAATGGCTATTTTAGTGGTACAGCTGATTCGTGACAAGAACGTCGAAGAGGATCAAGCGAACACATTTCTAAAGAGATTCAACGTTTTCAACTGCACTGCTCGAAAGATGCTTCGCCAGCATATGAAATTATGCAACGAATAGGAAATGTGGCATGATGTAACTGAAAGTTTAAGGTGATAGTCCCTGTATCCGTTCGATATTCCGAATTCTTGTTCCCAAGAAATCTGTCTGGAAAGGATTAACTCCTACGTACCTAACACTGACTGGATTATTAAAATCCGTGACCTGGTTAATTACTCGAGAAAAATCTCGCGCTCTGCTCCAAATACGGAAACGATCGGTCGACGCTCCCGATTTAGCGAACAATTTCCGTTCGAGGCCGCGTTTCGAAGCGGGTTCGCAGACTCGTAGGTGCGTTCATTACTCATCGAGTACCGAGTACTCCTCTCTTTCTCTCTGTCATATGGACGTAGACGGTGCCTCGCAGCTCGGAACGGGATAGTGTCCGTTGCCTCTCCGCTACACCGCGGGATGGACTCTGCTATAAATATCGTAAATATCGATCAAAGGAACTTTACAGACAAGTGAGGCAGTTCATCATGTCGCGTTCTAGCTTTCCTAACAATCAAATATATAAAGAGCGAGCCGATGAATTGAAACTACAGAAGCACACGTACGTAGCTGTCTCCGCAAACGGAGCATGAAGTGGGAAAAGGACGATTGTCGTAGTTTTGACGATTGAATCGCGGAAAGAAATTTAGGATTTTACCGCATCGACTCGTGAATCACCACATCGAGGAGCTGGAGACAGGAGAACTTAAAGGAGGTTAAACCACGTTCTCTAAGCGCTACGTTGAACATGGACAAAAGATGTGTTACCGCCCCAGTATCGAAGTTACGGTCATTGTCAAAGTAGTCACCATTTCCGGACCGAATGGATTTTCACCCAACATCCCAGTTCAAGTGGCGATGAAAGAAAACGAGGACGTTCGATTTTCTGGGAAGAGCTGATCAAATCAATGCAGTAATTCCGGAGAAGAAAGCATTCTTGTGCTTCTTCAAGCGGTTAGGCAATTCAGTGCGCGTGTGTGCACCAGTTGTGCCTTTCTAGGGACATCGCGATGTCTCATAGCCAATGAAGAAGTTACGACAAAAACAATAGGATGTTCGTAGCCGGCACGAGGAAATTATGCAGAGTCGGGCTGGCCGCTGTTTTAGTCACTGCCCTCTGTGCCCTCGCACTCCTGGACTTGCCACCTCAACTGCCAGATCCTCCTACGGATCGGCCGCCTACGAGAGGTAAGATCATCGATATTTCCAGACCAGACCTTTAAAGGCGATTTCGTGAGCCCGGTATTAACTTATTGCAATTAAATCATCATTTTTTTCTCCTATCAAGCGAACGTCAGACTTACTTTATGCGGTGCATATCTTAAGCTGATGTGAAAATGGCGTCAGAGGTCTCGTTTATGAAACTTTTTCCTGAACTGGGTGTACCGAATCATACTTCACATTCATACTTTTTAGCGTGAACGTGGAGGCTTCAGGGTGAAGTGAAACACGTCGAGGAACTTGATCGACGTCGATAAAGAAGATCTTTCTAAATACCTACATTGACAGTTGGGTCGAATTATATTGAGTATTAGGAGTATTATATATATATAATATATATATCGAATTATTCTTTTTAGACGAGACCGATCGCGCCTCAGCGCTGTTTTTGTTGATACGAATAATATATTTCGAATATAATTTAACATGTATTTTTGGAGGTTTATTGAGCTTTCCAGCTAGATATTGCAATGATCGACGAAGGATACGTTTTTATGAGCAGTTATTATTTAAACATTAGGCACATATCAGAATGGTTAACACTAATTATATCCTTGGATTCATTTTCTATTTCAAATTGACTTCTCCTTGGCACTAAATTATAAAATATCAAATTATATGTCAAACAAAACGAAAAAACTTGATACTGCGCTGCTTTTTTTAGCAAAAAATGGAGAACGATCCGAGAAGCAATGAAGAATAAGTGATACACTTGAAAGATGGAACTTTCGCTTCACAAAAATCATTGCTCATAATGTTAACGCCACCGCATGTCCTTTTAAACAAAAGATAATAAGACTCCTATAATGATATTGTGAATTTCTAACTCCTTCTATTATAAATTTCTATCCCACACAACGAAAATAAATTTTCTAGTCGATTTCCTATATCGAACTCCGATTGATAATAAACTATGCTGTTGTATCGATTAATTCGATCCAGCTCGGACACCTAATGATTGGAATAGTGAATGATTAAATGGCATGTATACACGATATTAATCTTCCTCGTTCAGAAATTGATGATCTTTAACATTTGGGCATCTCCTTATTGTGCGTGCTCGTGAATGGTTCTGACAGGTGAGGTCAGCTCGTAAACGTTTTCCTTTTTCGGTTCGCAAGTAGACTCGAACAAGGCTCGAGACCTTAGGAATTGTGTAAGCTGAATTGAGATGGGTCATGGAGAGTCTTAAGAAACATATATAGCCGAAAGAATCGTTTAACGGTAATCAAAGACGATGGAAATAAATAAATGATTCAAGCTATGCGTAACATTAATTCCCCGCAAACATCTGAAGAATTAATTATCACCAGAATTAGTCAACGTTGTGAGAGAAATTTAGAAATGAAACACAGGTATTATGTACTTACAAGTTCTCCTTTTGGAATTTAAAACGAATTACTTACCGAAAATTAAAACAAAAACATTTTATATTTAAACATAACATTTTATATATTATCTTACTGCAGGAATTCCAACTATTTAGAAGAGATGAAACGTTCATGTGCCTTTGGCGGCATGTGGATTAAAGTAACACAACCCTAGTAGCATAGAATAATTTCTAAATATTTCTTTGTAATCTTTGCTAAATATCTCAAGCGACAAATTTTTTTAGATTTCTTGTAGATTTCATTCGAAGATATTTGAAATATTTGCCGAAAATCTCAATGACATAGTCTGTTGCAATAATTTATAAACATATACAGAAATTATATTTTATAACTTATGAACATGTAATAAAAATACATTGTTTACTTCACGACTATTATCGGACACTTCATTTGGTATTAAAAAACACGACAAATTTTTCTAATATTTTCGTTCCGCTATTTCATTATGGGAGCGAAAAGTATGATTTTGATTTTAAATATTTTTAAAACGTTCATAATGTATTCGGCAGATAATACTTAAAAAATACTTGTATTAAAATGAAACGAAATGTTTTGTATATCTGGTAGAAAAATATTATGAAAACACATGGAGCNTCTAAAGCAAACGTTTGGCAAATATTTCAAATGTCTGGAAAATATTTGCAAAATGTACGATATTCGTTAAATATATAGAAAATATAGGACACATATTTTGTGCTACTAGGGTAGTGTTAGGTCGGGGATCGTTTACTCGGGAGCGGTGATAGCGATTACCTGAGGATGTCGATCGGACCGGGCCTCGTGGGTTTGTTTTTGGGACTCGCTTCCAGATGATTGAAACCAGCCAAAGACCTCGTCGAGCAAAGTAACGAAGATACTTTATTTTCGATGCCTCTTGGTTTACAGAAACGACTCGTAGACTCGGTCAACTCAAGGGGACTAGCGTTCGCCGAGAGTTACAGGTGCCTCGCACGCAGGTTACAGAATGGAGACAGTTCAAGAGTTCGGAGCGGGCCTTTTTGTACTGACCTAGGATGTTCCTAGGCGCGGAGGAGGATGCTTATTGGTGGGTTTTTAAGATTGAGGAGGGAAATGTCTCATGTGATTGGCTTGGGGACAGGTCGAAAGGGAAACAGGTGGATAGCGTCTTTTTCCAGAGAATCTGAATGTTTGACGTTTCCCAGGGCTGTCATCTAGTTTGGGGTGCGGAAGTACTCGAATAAACAAAGGGGAGATAAGAAACGAGGGAGAGCATGCCTCCAGGAGCGTTTTGGAGCGCGAGACGCGTTGCTTAGTCTCTTTCTTAATATTACTTAAAATAATATGTTAGGTAGGGACCTAACAGTAGCTGCTACGGCTACCGGGTGTAGGAACGGAACGTAACTTCCGGGGTAGATAGGCCAGATCGATTTGTCGGTCCTTACGTTAGAGGTTCGATGCCATACGTAATGCGGCATAACCTAACGTAACCAAATTACAAGGTACATCGGATCCCGGAATGCAATCGACGCAGTTTGCGGTTATCCTTTGTGCCCGTCTGCCGTGCGTCGCAGCACGGGGATGAGTCACGGCTCTTGAAAATCGCTCTTGAATTATCTCTGTCGTCCTCTTAAAGACGTTAAAGGAGCATGACGATTAACTCGCGGTAATTTGCACTCCTCGAGTGCACAGCACGCCGCGATTCCGTGCGCCGTGCAATTTCTCGCGCTTTATTGTCCTCTCAAGAAGCCGTCGGGCGGTTTCTTTTGTCTCGTGCGAAAATTAATGACGCAGCGAAACCTTGCCACCTCCGGCTTTATAGATCTCCCGTGCACCGCATCCGATGCCAAACCCCATTACCCGGTCTTCTACCTCGATTATTAAATAGAGCCGAACAATCGTTTCTCGCGCCTTTCGCAGCTTCCCAGCCGGCTTGATCCGTGAATCATGATCCTAATTCTTGTCCTGGAATTCTTCTTCCTGATCCCCTTCCTCGAACCGCTCCAGACCGTACACGGAGAGAAAAAGTTGTTATAAATACTACAATTGTGATAGGTATAACAGCAATCGCTTGGAAATATAAGGGCAGCAGGTCTACAGAGTAATGATTACTCTGCTAAAAATGTCAAACGTACAATTTCATTGTAGTACACATTATTAGAAAGAATGATTGTAGTTACAACGATACGACAGTTTTGTTTGTTTATTCTTTAATATCGACAGAAAGTCCTGCGTGAATGGGTTGTGCGGCACGCAGATGTTCCATGACCTGGGACAAACCGGAGAGTTTCCTTCCAAAAGTGTCTTTTACGCGGAAAAAGGGTCGCGATATTTTTGGTGTTCCGAGAAACTTTTCCAGCACCCCAGCAATGTATTTTAGATACGATTTGTGAAATTCTCCCTACTTGGCCCGGTCCAAAACATTTTTTGATGGAGAGATCGCCCCCGCTTCGAGTCTTTCTAACATCGTTTTCAATCCCTCTATTGCAACTCTATTCTTCTTGTTTTCCAATCGCGGCAAAGGATTTACCGAGTTATTTCTTTTTAACCAATTGCCGACCTTTCCAAAGTACAGTTCCACTTCCCGAACTTGCGTTTTTTTAATGTCTCGACCGAACGGTTAGTTGCTGTTAGATCGTACTCAAATAAGGTACCTAAGGGTAATAAGGCCCATCATTACTTAAAAAGCTTATAAAAGGCAAAATATAAAGTAATTTGGGAAGGGGAAGTGAGCAAAGTCATTTCAGTCACAAGCAATAAAAATAAAATATTATTTTTAACGAAAACGTAATTAAAGAAAATAGTTGTATGATGCTACTGGACTTCATTATCCACGCGTGTGGGTAACATAGTCCAGGGACATTGTTGCGAACATCCAACCAACTGTTCACATTAATTTGCATAGTCAGAGCAAGTTATGTCATCACGATCCTCGAATGTTATTCTCGGGCATTCTTTATGAAGCCATTTCTTGCACAGAGCAATTTTCGGCACATCAACAACTCTATTTTCTTGGTAAAGGCTGCTGTACCAGTTCTTGGTCTTCTTTGAGGAGCGAGACATCGCTTCTTTTTCAGATATTTCGCTTAATTTTTGTTGCGATGTCGTATTTACCATAGCTAGTCACAGTCTGTTGTCCGTTTTAAAAAAAGACCTTTAGTTACACTATGTTATCCTATGTCGGGTCTTATTATCCGTACGATGCAAAGTATATTGTTAAGTAATGATTTCTGAGACAACAGACCTTTTTAACAAAATTAATGACAGTTATGCAGCGAAAAGTATAAGGTGTTACCTACTAGACAGAGCAGTACTTCACAAAGCTTTGTGACAAGAAGCTTGAATTCAAATACACATTCAAATATACAAAACATTTCGTGTCATTTTAATACAAGTATTTTTTGAATATTATCTTCCGAATGCATTATAAACGTTTTAAAAATATTTAAAATCACAATCACACGTTTTGCTCCCATAATGAAATAGCGGAACGAAAATATTAGAAAAATTTCACATGTTTTTTGAAACCAAATGAAATGTCCGATAATAGTCGTGAAGGAAAAAATGTATTTTTATTATGTTAATAAATTAAAAAATATTTCTCTATATGTTTATAAG